TAGAAAACAAAATTAAAACATGCACCAAAATCTGCCTTATGTGCTATGTAAAGGTCGTTCCAAGTACCAATATTGATAAACCTTCAAACTCAGACATCAAAGACAGCTCAAGCATATTATTAATATTATTAATACTATTGCGTATTACTATTATGCGTAGATAACTTCAAAGTCAGAAGAATGAGTTTAATTTGTAAAAAAGAAGTAGTTTAATGAAGTAAAATTTCTAATTCAAATTAAACTTCCATGATAGTTATTCTTCTTGCATCATTGCAATATTCATACAATGATATAATAATTCTTTATTCATCCCCGAGACACACATTTTTACATTACATAATTTGGAACTTTTGATAATCCTATTTTATCATTATCGTATCAAGTATTTTTACTTGTATCAAACATTTTCACTTACATCAAGTATTTTTAATTACGTCAAGTGATTTTACCTACATCAAGGGCTTTTACTTTAGTCAAATTGTCAAATAGCCTTGGTGGGAAACTACCTTTAGTCAATACTTTAGTTACGTCAATGGCTAAAGTCAAAAGTTTCGTCATATATCATTACTTGAACGTGACAAATAAACCAACATTGCATACTAATTTAAATATCAAGCTTTATGTATTAAATAAAAGTTGTTATACAAGTTAAAATTGACTCGCTCATATAAGGCTTGGATTTAGATACTAGCTACAACTCGAATGCGACGTGATTTTGTTTTTTTTTTCTTTACATATCGTAAACAATGCTGGATTTTCCCTTGTATGAATAATATTAATATTAATATGTAGATGTGATCATCATAGACAATGATTTTGTATTTTCTAATTATTCAATAACTTTTACACAGAATAATCAATTCCAAAATCATACTTTCTTACTTTTCTTTCACCTTTACTTTCAGGTTTTATCTGTCTGGCTTGATTTGATTAATCGAAAATAATTAAAGAGCATCTTTAGCCAATCATAAACCTCGATAACGCGTATTAAAAATGAGATCTGCAACATGATTTTCATCCCTTTGTTATAAAAAAAAAAAAACAAATGTCACCAAGAAAGCAACTTAATGTTAAAAATACATCAAAAAAACAAATCAATTATTTACAAAGTCTCCAACAATGTGCTTCATGCTTAAAAGATAGCTCTTCTAGTGTACGTAAACTTATTTATTTATCTTTTGATGATAACAATTATAAAAAAAAAAATAAATAATAATTAGTAATTACTAATAGCTTCAAAGAACCGTAAAAGGACTCGATGAAGTTTTAACCAAATTTACTAGATTAAAAAATTTGATAAAGTGTGATACAGTAAGCAATAGTTGTGATGCGATATATTAAAATAAAGAGATTAATATCAATTCTTTTTAGGTGTGTGATCTTATTACAGAAACAAGATTAAATCAAATGAAAAATCAAACTTCTCTACATTTCGAATCAAGAATCAAATATTTATTTTCTGAAACAGAAATTTTATTAAAGGAACTAGAAGAAAAAGACAATTGTTTACAGGAAAAGGTTTTAAATAATTACACATTTGCTATGTAACTGTAAATATCACTATTTTATATATATATATATATATGTCAACATATTATATACACACTTTGATGTTACAGGTGGATAGATTAGAAAATCAATTGTATGGAAAATCAGAGAAATCACCATTCCAAACTAGATCAAGATATAATTATAATAATAATTACAATATTGATAATTCAAATTTTAGAGGAATGCATTCATCAACTAATTTAGAAAATTTGCAGTTAAAAAAACTAAGAGAATTGAAAAAAAAGAAAGAAAGAATAACTAAATGTGTTCAAGAATTAGATGAAGATTATAGAAGAAAGGTAATATATTAATAATAATATGAATTATTGTTGTTATGAATTAATCAAATAAATATTTTTGATTAGGAAGATGAGCTTTCATCGCAAAAACAAAATTTAACAGAACTGGACGGATTGGATAAGATCAAAGAAAGAAGGATGTTTGAAAGTTCAACCTTACCGAAATTCAACGGAAAAAGTATGATTTCATAAAAGATTGTATATTTCTTGTCATCATTTTTAAACACTCAATAACGAAAAAGTCTCTTTTTTGATTTCTTTTGATTTATGCACAAGCCAACAATTTCACTAAATTTGGATTAATATGTGATCAGTATTTATCAGCATTGAAAGAAGATTACGAAAAGGTATGAATAACTGATCAAGTTATAGAAATCTGATAGGTCGTGTTTTAATTATCGTTCTCTACTATTATTTTCTTAGGCGATTCAAGATCGTCAGAATCAAAGATCAACTGGTATTGAGAACTTGAGAAGATTGTGTAAATTTCTTTTTCAGACAGATAACATTGGCAATACTATGGCAAAAATTATAATATTTTTGCTCGATTCTGATAGTAAGAAAATCACTTTAAAACAATTGCAAGCGGTAAATTATCAATATTTTACATGTATGTGCCTATATTATTATAATTAATAATAAAAATATCATTATTAGGAATTTCCATCAGAACAAGAGAGAAGGCATAATTTTAATACTGTAAAAGATCTTCTTATAAAATTAGAAATCATAGAAATGGTGTTGGAAGATGATGAGATAATATTGAAATTTAAAGTTGATGAATGAAATTGGTGGCACATAATAAAAAGTCAGAGAGTTGTATATGACTTTATCAATTATGAAATTGTTGAATAAAACTTTAACATAACTGGCGTTGGTTCCTGAAAAAATTATGAATTATGAGCTTTGACTGTAGTCGTAAATTTTATCCTTTTACTAACAAGAATTCATTATAAGGATAATAGTAATAATTGTGAATTCAAAGAAGAGAACAAGGCTCCGAATGAATCGTTTCAGTTCAATTTGAATTTAAAAGGCTGAATTCAATTATCATTGACAAAAATCGTGATATGATCTTTTATCCGGGTTTGAAACGCACATGACCAAGTTATTTTTGATCATAAAGGAATTTTTACTTAATATATAATATACAGGTCGTGTTGAGTATTTCGTGGTCGAATTTTTCCGAGATGTTTTTTTTTTCAACGATTTTTAAAAGTCTGTCAATGACATTTGATAAAAGATAATTTAAATCTTTGTTGAATCCATTTTTATTCATTTGTATAATAATGTAACAATGATTTCATTGGACGTTTTTAGGATTAGATCTTTTTTTGTTATAGAAACAATAAAAAAAAATCTCCATATTCGTCTCATACATATTTTTAGTAGCAACAAAAATGCTACTAAGAACATAATCCTAGAAGACAATTACTATTTACTATAATAAAAATGATTAAATCGAAATTCGCTATTTATCTAACTTACGCACACATCATTCTTGTTTTTGGTTTAAATAAAATTTAGAGTTATCTACAACATAGAAATTACAATGAAAATTATTTCGGTTATTAACATTAATATTCATTAATATTAATCCAAAAATGGACAATGATAAAAAATTCTATTTATGTATAACAAAACTACGTCCACCGACCGCTAATTGGTTTTTCTTCAGAAAACAAAAATATATATATAATAAATATGTTTGAATCAAAAAATCATTTTACCATTTTTTACCTATATAGAACATAAAATTTTCTAATTTGAATTTTTTGAAAGAAAAATATGATAAAATATTCTGCAGTTAACACAGACGAAGAGGAAGCAATACCAAATTCTACAATAACAAGTGATGGAGATTCTTTGGAGCAGTTACCACTTTTAGGTGAAAGTATAACCATTCAAGATGAAGTTACTGATGGCCATCGTGCAAATGCTACCTTTTTTTCATGTTTTGTAGGTAAAAATGAAATTAATTATTAATAATAGAATAATAATAGGATTATTAAATGATTTATATTTATATTTTTTTTTATAGATAAATCTTACAAATACAATTATTGGAACTGGCATGTTGGCCATGGTAATTAATCGTTATTTATTATTTATTTCACACAAAATATATATTAATAATATTATTATTATTTATTAGCCGGCAGCAATTGCGTCAGTTGGTCTTGTTGTTGGAAGTGTGGTAATACTTTACGCAGGCTTTACTTCTTGTTTGGGTTTATATTTTTTGTCAAGGGTAGCAACCCATACAAATGGTCGTAATGCATCGTTTTTTGCAGTATCACAATTAACCTATGCATCAGTTGGCATATTTTTTGATTTGGCCATAGCAATCAAATGTTTTGGAGTATCAATTTCATATCTCATGATTACTGGTGATTTGATGCCAGAAGTGGTTAAATTTTTACTGGATAAAACAGCTTCAAGCCACTTTCCTTGGTTGACAGATAGAACTTTTTGGATATCGGTCGCGATGATTTTCATTGTGCCATTGTCATTCTTAAAAAGATTGGATTCGTTGAAGCACACAAGTTCAATAGCTTTGATTGCTGTTGTCTATTTGATTTTCATTGTCATTTATTACTATTTTGCTCCAGATTATGACCCACCACCAAAAGACAAAATACATTTTGTTAATTTGTCGAGTAAATTTTTTTCAAATTTACCAATATTTATATTTTCATTTACTTGTCATCAAAATGTAAGTTTGTTTTATTTTGTTTTTATTTTTAAATTATGATAATCCAATATTTTTTAATTTTATCATTTATTTATTTTAGCTTTTTACCATTTATAATGAGCTTGAGTTCAATAATCAAAGAAATATTAATAGTGTTATTACCACTGCTATTGGAACATCAGCAATTGTTTATCAAATAATTGGAATATTTGGTTATCTAAGTTTTGGTGATGATGTCTTACCAAACATAATATCAGAATGTATGTTATATATATTTTATACGTGTAAAATGATTATATAGCTCATTATTGATGTTTTAATTTTTTTATTTTTAAATTATAGATAATGCAGGTTTAATAGTAACAATTGGTAGGATAGCGATCGTGATATTGGTAATATTTTCGTATCCACTTCAAGCGCATCCTGCTAGAGCATGTCTGGATAAAGTTTTAACTTTTCGATCAAGAACTACTTCAACATCACCAACTCTATCAGATAATAATAATAATCGTAAGATTGATGACGATTTATTAACGAAAGTTAAATATATATTTTTAACATCCGGAATTTTAATTTCAAGCTATACGATTGCAATTTCCGTAACAAAATTGGATTTGGTATGTTACGAGTTTTTAAATTTTTTGGAAAACATTTCATTAAATATTTAAAAAATGCTTAATTTTTATTGTTATTTTTTTAAAAAAAAATTAATAAAATAGGTATTTGCATTCGTTGGATCAACAGGATCCACAACAATCTCATTTATATTACCTGGTATATTTTATTATAAAATCCATCAGAATGATCCATGGGATAGATATAAGATTGGTGCAGCATTACTGGCCCTCTATGGATCCTTGGTGATGATTATTTGTTTAACATTAAATGTAGAACGTGTTTCCGCTTAATGAACAACAGATTAATGAACAATTAAAATTGATTGATTTTTTAATATATTTAATAATTATTAATCATAATAGAGTAATATAGTATAATATTCTAATTAATAATAATAACAATCTAATAATAATTATTTTATAGAATAATAATAATTAAATAATACTTGTATAGTATTTATTTTGAATGTTTAAAATAAAATTTTAGGAAATATTAATTCTTTGTAGAATTTTTGAATTATTAAATTATGCGTGCTATATAATTACCGCCAAGTACTAAACCTCAATATCATCTTGCATCAAATTTCCTGCCAATGTAACTTTTTCACCAGGTGCAAATGATGGTGTGCCAAGATAAGGACATGTTGAACAACGAAAAGCATCACCAAGAGAACACTAATAATGGGTATTTAAGAAAAGAATCATAATAAAAAAAAATATATATATACATAATAAAATAAATATTATTGACATATATAAATATTGCAGATGTACAGACGTATATGTGTGCGTGTAATACATACATTTCCACAAGATGAAGTAAATTCAGGAACTTTAACTTCTTCTAATTTTTCAGCAAGACCACATGAACAATTTTTACATGCTTTACGTTTTCCGCTAGTTTCACAATCAGGACCTATTCGAATTATCTAATGTGTAAATAATAGTATTATTGACATTTATGGAATAATGAGTAGAAAACGTACGAGTCAAAGTACTCTTGTCCGGTTTAATTAAATCTTCTTCGTCCAATAACTCGTCTTCATTCTCCAATGTTTCTTCTTCATTGTCAACATTAGAAAGGGTCCAAACAGAAACTTTCTTATCGTTTGTTATTGCTGCACTTGTATTCTTTTTGAACGAGGGTAAAGCAAATGAAGGACCAACTTCATATGGTTTTTTTGCCACAACTACATTTTGCAACAATCATTAGTTTTTTTTTTGCATCATCACCAATGATTTGTGTTATACTATTTATTACTTTCAACTTGAATTATATAATATTATATATACCTTCTGAATTCTTATTATTTTCCATTGTCAAAAAATTTATGCTATCAAAGAGATTATATTTGTTTTATCAAAAGGAAAGATCATATAAATTTATATTCGATACCAAAAATGGATTATTAATTATAGTGTTACAAAAATGTGATGGCCTGATTCTCGCAACAAATAAAAAGTTTTATTAAAATAAAGAAAGTACGCTCACACCACAAATTATGACAAATTACATTCAACAAACATTCCAATCTCAACTATTCATTTGATATTGATAATAAGTCAAAGGGAACAGGTGATGTGATAATAGTAAGAGGAAACGGGATTACTGTCGAAATCACGTGATAGCATATCCACTGGGTTTTTTTATCCCAAATTGTCACTTGAGACTTGAGATAATTTACCATGCCATGAAAAGGCGGAATATAATTCACGATTTATTTTCTAATTAGTATTAGTTTTAATTTTGTCAAAGAAGTCAAGATGTTCAACGATAAAAGTATTTCTCGGGATTTTAATTTTGACTTTATGTATAGTAGCACTAGCAACAGCAGAAATAATAATCATAGCCGTAATAGTGATAGTAGTAGCGATAGTAGTAGAAACAATTAAATGATGAAATTGCCTAATTTAAAAAAATAACGATAATGATCTGAATTTTATTTAATAAGTCAATTTCATTGATTTATTATAATGAGATAAGTTAGTCGTGATGAGATTTCACCATTTATTAACATTATTTTTGTTATTTATTCTTTCAAAGCCTTCTCCCAATTTCGTATGTAAATCTAGAATTAGTGTTAATTCTAGTTCTGACTTCTTTCTCCCTAGGTAATAATATCCAGGCCAGTCAAACAATGCCAATGATGCAGTTAAATGTTAAATATACTTCATATGTATTGTTCTTGTTCTAAAACGTTAATCTATTTGTTTTATTTCAAGAGAATGAATGGTGGCCTCATCCATATAATAATAAAGAATTAGTGTAATAGTAAAACAGTAAATATTGTTGCAATTGTCGTGAGTCATAATCAATTACCCTCATTATCATTAATACTAAAAGGTTAAAAGAAGATTTTGTATTTAAAATTTATTATGAAAATGTATAATAATACTTATTCTGCTCTTTCCACTATTTCTGAGAATGAAAATAATAAAGGTTGTTTTTCGCAGTTAATCAAAGAATACAAAGAACTTTTAGCAAATGAAAAAGAATATCTGTAGAGAAAATTTTGCTTATAATTTTGGATTATATAATGCAAGAAATAAATTGGGAGAGCTAAACGAATGTAAAAATTGCAAAACAGCACGATATTTTGTGAAAAGTGTATTAGTTTACACTTATAGAATCTTTTTGATACTTGGACATCCGGAAGTGAAATAATTGATAATTTTATTTAAAAATGTCAAAAGCTTTCATCTCTTCCAGATGGAATTATAGAATGGATATCTTGTGAGCAATTTGAAAATATAAAAAAGTTAACAGAAGGTGGGTGGGTTCAGTTCAATTTATACTGCAGAGGAAGTATTGATGAAAATAAAAAAAAGTTTAATTATTTTGGAGCTCAGAAAGTAACATTGAAATCTTTAAATAATTCAAGTAATCCAGGAAAAAATTTTTTTTTTGATGAGGTAATTGATCTTATTTAAAATAAAATAAAATAAAATAAAATAAACCATTTTATTTTAAATTAATTGATTTTATTTATAATTAATTACAGGCATTAAATTATCGTAAAATTAAATTCCCAGAAAATGTAAATTATGCAATGGTTCTAAATTATCATTCAAAAGGAAATTTAAGAGATTATTTAGATTATTTATAAAGAAATCATTCAAATTTAACATTAAAGGGTGTAATTAATATTTTAAACTGTTTATGTGAGGCATTATATTTTATTCATGAAAAAGACTTGATACATTGTGATCTACACAGTGGTAATATATTAATGAGGGGAGGTAATGATAGTTTTATCACAGATTTTGGATTATGTGGGCCAGTTGATCAAATAGAATTTATGGAATTGTATCATACATTGCACCTGAGATATTTAAAGGAAAAAAGAACACAAAAGAATCAGATGTTTATAGTGTTGGAATGTGGGGAATATTTGCAGGTCATCCATCATTTGATAATAGAGCTCATAATAATTGCTTAATGGTAGATATTTACGACCACCAATATTACCAGGAATGCCCGATGACTATGCACAGATGATGCAAAGATGTTGGGACATGGATCCAACCAAGAGGCTAACTGCTGGAGAGCTTTGGAACTTTTCTGTTAATATTTTTATGACCGCAAGTTTTAATGAAAATACAATGATATTGGCAGTGGCGGTGATAATAATAGTGGTAGTAGCAGTAGTAGTAATAATAAGAATAGTAATTATAGTAATTCACAACAAATTTATAAATCACATCCATTTGCATACCATACAAGTAGAATATTAAATGATGAAATTGCTAAATTAAATTTAAGTAATGATAGCTTATTGAATTATAAAGTATAATTTTATTAAAACAAATTAAATATATAGTTAATTAATTAATTACTAATATGATTATTTATTTATTAATAAAGAATAAGTAGTTGAAAGGAGGGCTGATAAGGTTAAAATTTTAAAAAGTTGATGGTTAATTAATTAATTTCATAATTTTATTCATTATTTTTTATAATTTAAAATAAAGAGAAATGAAAAATTAAAGACACAACAATAAACTATACGAAGTGACCCATCATATATCTTTAAGGATAATAAAATTATAACCATTGGTAAAAAATAAAGTAATTTGGAAGTAGCTCTACGGCATACTGGTCTTGCATGTATATAATTTTCAATGCATGATATTTGAAAAGTTTATAAAATAAATAATTCGTGATGTTGTTTTCCACAGGTCACAGATATCATAATCAAATGCCAAGATAGGTTTTAGAGATTTTTAGTGTTATTGATAGGTGCTACGTGTGTATATCTAATATTTAATTTTCATAAAAAAATCACTCACCTAATAAATTTTTACGATATGCTTGCTCTATTTAATTCGTTGGTAAACAACAAAAAATTGAACAGCTCGATATAAATGTGTGCCAAAGTAATTTAATTTAATGAAAAATTAAAAGACATATTTATAAGTTTTTTGTGAGTTTTTATATTTTATCAGCCTTCAAGCAATTTTACTTGCATCATTTTTGACTTAATGGCAGTAATGGTACTGTATAGTCATGCCTATATACATACTTTGTTCTGCCGGTTACACATAATATTTACGTTCCGCTCAGACTTGGCGGGTGAAAGGACCCGGTCACTTTACTTTATCGACAGGACACTTTACCGACAAGCATTGTGTTAACAATTTGCCAAGGACTGTGTAAAGACCTGGATAACTCTATGTAGAAGCCAAAAGTTTGATTTTTTACAGACAAGTTAAATCAACTGTTGACCTTGCCATACAAATCATTAACTAATAACACAACTTATTATCTTTACTTTACATCAAAAACCAGTTCATAAAAATACAATGTAGATACATGTGTAATATTTTTTTTTGTCTGATGAAATTGATAAGAATTGCATATTCGGACTAATTGTTTTATTAAATTTATTTATTAACATTTAATTGATTTATTATAATTGTGATGAATTTATTTTTAATTTTTAAATAAATAAAATACTTGAATCTTTTCTCTCGTATTTGAATACTTTTAAACATGATTTTATGAAAAAAAAAGAGTAATGATTTGAAATGCTAAACTCACACCCTTATTACATAAAAAACGTTGAAAAACCCAAATTGCCAAAATAATTCGAGCTTTGAGAAACAGTTTGGGCTAGAAACCTTACTTGATTGTCGGTAAAGTGACCCAGACCGGTAGGTGAACTAGCATTCACGTCATTGATTAAAAAAACTTTCCACACCTTCTACTAACTAAGTGTTGATTTTTACACATTTGAAACTAAGCTTTCTTCCCTCCCAAAAACCATTTATATATATATATAATCCCTATTCTCATGGCACGGTCATTTGTAGGTTAAAATATTTTAGTAGTTTCAAAGGTGTTAACGGTTGACATTAACACGTAGTAGAACATCACCATAACAGAAGATTTGCGTTAAATATTAGAACACGCTTTACCTCTTATAGTAAACAACTTGTCTAATAAAGTAATTGACGAGTCTAATTTTTCTTTCAATTTTGCCTGCAATTTACATTATAAATTAATAAATGATGAAATTAATTAATTAATTACAAGATGAATTGGAACTTCTAGTGGTAATTTGATAAAGTCATTTCTCTTCTAGAGATTAGTCATAAAAAAGGTCACACATTCTTGATTTTTTTATTTTGGCAACTTGATATAATCCAAAAACTGCAGTGAGAAGAAAACGTTTATCGGAGAGGGTATGAACAAATGTGTTTAATTAATCCGTCAGGTTTATAATAACAATGCCAGCAATATCTGAATTATAATGAGATTGTTTCTACGAGAGAAATTCATTAGAATAGTTTAGATAATATAATATATTCTTAATCATATAAAATTTTATCATTTTAAACATCTAATAAAAGCATCGAATATGACTGCATCGTTAAAAAAATAAATGTCTACTACTGTATTATGCATGCCTATTAATATCATTGGGCAACTAAATCAATTAACCGGTTATGCTCTAGTTCCCCTATTTTTTTCGCAATGACCAGACCCAAGGGAATTTTCGGAATGGAATTCATGTATTAAAAAAGTTTTATTTGCAAAAATAATTGGTCTTTTTGAACTTTCACTTTCTGCCAAATACTGAAAGTTGAAATCATTCTCAAAAGCACCATAATGCCAAATTTCATCATTTAATTCATTTTCAGATGATATTTTAGATCCATCTTCTGAACCAGTTGTTATTTAAAAGCTTTAAATTGTTTCATCTAAAAGAATTATTATCAACATTAAGATCTTGATAATTTTTGATTTTTTTTTCATGCTTTAGAGTCTCTTGCATTTTTAAGTTATTTTACAATTTATTGTATTTCAATATATAATATATATAATGGGTAACCTTACATATATAACACAAGACAAGATTAAAATAAAATAACAACATGAGTGTGTATAGACTTCCCAAAACTGAAAAACCATTTATTTATTTGGATTGTCTAAATTTAGAAATGATTTTCTTGTTATTTTTTCGCGAACATACAGTACACTAATACTTGATGATGTGTGAGCTACATTACTTACAATGACAAAAAAAAAATTTACAATACTTTAGCAGGATAAACTAATAGTTAGAGTTTCTATTCGTAATACAAATTCTTATTCGAATTATTTGTAATATAACTCAATCTTAATTCGAATATTATCAGTCGTTTTGTTCAAATTATTCGTTTTAATCGATTATTTGTTTATTCGAATAGACCTTTAATGTAATTTGAATACTCAAATTCATAACGAGTGAAACAAATAATTCGAATAAACCTTTAAATAGTAATAACGGTGGGATAATACCGGCAAGCTTGGTACCATCTGAAAAGTTTTCATCAACTGGAATTTGTTTAAGTTCTTAGCCAGTTAAGGTACCCTTTACCATTGTCAAAGCACTTAATGAATGATAATCGAGCAAAAAAATGAGAAAAACTATTCCCCAACCAGGCTACTACCTTTTTTTGGGAAAGAAAAAAATAATAAAATCTTGGCTGATGCCACCTGAACTACTTTAGCCCGAACCTTTGATGATTGATGGCAGGAAGAAACCCGAGCGAAAAATTTAGCCAAAGAACTCAACGTGGATGAAATTGCTAAAGAATTCTTGATTAAAACGGCTATTCATTTTAATGCTGACTTACTAAAAAAGGATGGCTAACATCACATGTATTAAAAGGAATAGAACTCCACAACAAATAATTTTTGAGAAATCCTCTCTGTTGGATTACATTAAAGTTAGAGAGACATTCTATCAACAACTAACATAGTTAAGTTTTTGTCGTGTAGTACAAGTGGTTTAAAGGCCTAAATTGCGAGTATTTCATAATGACGTTTTCTTTTGAAAATCGGTTTAATAAAAAAAATGATCGCCACGATCTTTTTTGAAGAAAAAAGCCAATTTTAGAGGTTATAATAGACAAAGTATTCATTAGAATAGCTTAAAAATGTTTATAAAATTTTTCGGTGAATTCCAATCTCTTCAATCCATATTGAATTTAAATATATTGCGTGTAACATTCTGAAAGTAAAATTGGCGCATGTGTTTATTTATATTTTATGCAAATCCCCCAATTTTTGTCAATAATTCATACAGCGGCTTAGTTTTTAGGCTAAATAAAATAAATAATAGTGCGTCACCCGAGTAACAATAATACTTCGGACCACGCAAAAGAAAGAATTTTTTAAGTAATCATGTTTTAAAAAATCCAAGTCTCTAGAATAAAATGAATAATATTAAATCTATATAATATATTGAGATTAGGTGTCAGATTTAATAAAATTTTCCTTCCACGAACATGCAAGCTCTCTTTGTACAATTTTATCCATATTACTCACAAATTCGAGGCTTCAGACAAACGAATAACTTTAGCAGTCAGTCTCTTTGGGAACAATGCAATCTAATAAAATTCAGAGCTGCAGAAAACCCTCTAAAATTTGGTTGCATCATCATATTATTAGGTCTTCATGTCATATTAGCCTTTATACCAAAGGAATATCAGAATTTAAATATTTGAATAGTCGTTTTTCTTCCTCAACTATTTGCTTTCTCCCCTTTCAATCTCATCTTCAATAGTTTCGTTGCTTTACCTTTGATGTTTTTGACGATTTTTAAATTATTATGCAAAGAAAATTTGGATTAATTCTTCCATTATTTAATTGCTTACTATTATTAAGTAAAAACATGAGTTCATAGTTCTTCCTTGTCTTAGGTTCTTAATTTAACCAAAATTAAATGGTGGGTAAATAGATGATGGATGACCTTAAATATAAAATTTGTGTGTTATCAATTCATGTGTATAATAAAAAAACCCGTTTTATTTACACTTATCAAAAAAAAAATCACTTGTCAATAGCTTGATTTTGACAAGTGTAACCAAACCCCTAGTGAATATTCATATGATGGATGATTGTAATTACTAATAATGCCAAGTCTTTTCACAGATTGAAGATCGAAGGTTAATTTTAATACTGTAAAATATAGTAATCTTACATACAACAGGAAATCTATGAAAGTTATACGAAAAGAAAATCGGAAAAACTGATCAAGTATTCAAACCAATTCAATTTCATATTGTTATTTAATCACCAATAAAATAATTGACTCATGGGGAATATCTCAAACAACGGAGAAGCAAATATTCTAACATTCTAAAATGCAACAGACCTTTAATTCTTATATTTAATTTAAATGAAGGAATTTAAATGATTGGATCACTTTAGAAATAACTTGAAAATAATTCTACACAGAAGGTTCAAGTAATGCATTTAATTAAAATAAGTTAGGAACATGTGTAAATGACGTTGTAATTTTCTCAACTTCATGTATTATCATAATCTTAATCATCATCATCATCATAATCATCATCATAATCATCATCATAATCGTCATAATCATCATTTAATAAATAACACTGACCTTGACCTTGACCTTGTTGTTGTTGGTCTTCGAATATTATATTTTCGTAATAGTGAATCTATCTTTAACACTAATCCCGTGCATAATTATTTTCTCTTATTATATATTTGTCTCTATTTTATTATTATTTTTATTTATTCTTTTCTTTTAGTGAGGTAATATTCAATAAATTTTATTTGGAGACGTACACTTACTTACCATAAATATCCGACCACCTGACGATCATTTTAGGGCAACTTACGCCTCGCGCAGTTCAAAAATTTATTAACCAAACCGGGATTGATGCATTAAGTAAACATGTTTTTAAAGTTAATTTACATATAAACCTAAAGTTTTGTTGAGTTTGCATTATTAATTAATTTAGGGTGAAAATTTTAAATTAGACAAAAAATTTCATGATTTTTATGAAACTTTGAACTTAGTAAAAAACTTCAAATCTCTGTTGAATCATAGATTATGTCATTAACTAAGTCTACTTAAAATACCTTGAATTATATATGGTTAAAATTTGAGAAAATTTGATCAAGTATTGACAACAAAACGTAAAACCTTAAAATTTGCATTTTGTCAACTTTATTAAGTGTTTATATAATAAAATTACTGGGTGGTCGGATACTTTTTTAAACCCTTTTCACGAACTAATTTATGCTGACATTGTATTGTAGATATATGTAATCCATTACGTTGAGCACGTTTTATTAATGAATAATATACATTACAATGAAGAAATTTGACCTTTTATTACATGTAAGGATTCTGATTGAAAATTTGCTTTTTTGGACTATTTGCTAAATGTTTCTATTAATAACATACCAAGCCTTTTGAAGCTTTTGTAATTTGGAGATTTTGATTATCAAGTACAAGTCTACTTTGTAAAGTAAAAAAGGTTTTATTTAAGAAAATGTTACTTTTTTAGTAAGGACTCTTTTCATTTGATGCTACACAACTTTGGGTGGTCGGATATTTATGGTAGGTGAATGTACCTGACTTGAGTAGGAAGTAATAGTTAAGGAGGGCATCCACTAAGAAACGTGATCAGGATATATAGTGTAAAATCTAAAACAGATATTGTTTAGTATTGCTTTTAGCAAAGAATTGTTAAATAATAGTTTTGAGAGTAAAGCATAACGTTTCCATAATAAAAACCTTCTTGATATAATGGATTTTACCTAATACTAATTACCTGAACTATTCATTAAACTGAGATTCACTGTGTAATTACTTTCGAATGTAAAATCAAATTGACAAGTCAGTGGCGACATCAAATAATTATTTACAATAGTTTGATTTTATTCTCAGAAGCTTAAAATAATACAAAAATGCACATAGGGTCTAAAAAAATAATAGTATTTGGAATTTTGTCAATTCTACCAAAGAGCAAAACTTGCCGGAACGGTATATAAAATTTTGATCTAAATAACTGCTTTGAAACTTGAGACTTGAAAACAAATAATTTTGAACGAGAAAAATATTCAGATAAGATAGATAGATACCATACCAAAACGTGATGATGCTAATCTCACAAACACACAATTGAATGGCGAGGATAGATGTGTGAATACTGCCTGGGAGATTTTGTATAAGTGTTGGTAGTTAAATATTTTAACGTCTCCATACTTAGCAAAGATGGTGGGAAATTTCGCGTAACAGCAGCATTGATTAACCCAAACGCCAAGTGTAGTGTCATGGGCGCGAGCCTACCAGATAAACTTGGGATTAGCTATTCTAGTAATTTGTCCGAGAAACTAACCGATTAATTGTTGGAATTGGAGATGATCATTTTTTAATAACCCATATAATATATTTTTTCTGATGCATATATATCACCAACATAATGCCGGATTATTCCATCCTTGGTATAGTTGATGGAGAGAATGTGGAATGTTATCTTTCTTCAATTGGTGCTGTGATAAATAAACTTTTCAAAAAACTCGGAGGAAAGATCATCAAACCAATAATCACAGAAAATAAAAGATCCATGTATTTTAAGAGATTTGGTGAGAAACTTTTTTTCTGAGGCAAAATACTAATTACCGTCGGAAAAAATGTTACAGCACCTGTTTATATAATGGTTATAGATCTTGAGAGTCTTTTCTCCTCCAAGCCACATATGGAAAAAAATATGGAGTATTATTCTCATAGAATCATGCTTGGTACTCCTTGGTTGAAGATGCACATGCTGAAATTACACGAATCTGAATTGATATATACGACTCTTCGAATTCTTCCAAACATATGATATTCCTATAACAACGGAAGATACCGAAGAAGAGACTGATTTCAATCCGAGTGATTTCGATTCATCTGATTCTGGAAAAGAGTATGTTTGATGATATGCATTTCCGGTTGGAAGATCAAGAAAAAGCTAAAAAAGAATAGTTTGATTCCAGCGATTATAAAGTAGTAAATTGTAATACTCAAAGTCAAATCACATATGGTGTAATGTCAGATTCCAGCAAACAACTTAAAATTCAATTCTTCCGTAAATTATCCCAGAGAACAAACAAGGTGGAGGTTCGCAGACGTGTCTTATCGAAGAGTTAGCAAAAAAAGAAATGAAATAGAATATCCATTTTTTGAAGGGTCCCAAAAGCTAACCACGCGTCATGTACAATGGACCTACATTATTAATCACTCTGAAATATGATGATTATTTTTCTTTCGAGAGAATTACTGTATTCACGTCATCTGGAAAGAGCTAGTGGATGTTCATAGATAGTTATAGTAATAACTTTGTTTTCTGAAAAAAAAAAATAAATAAATATTATTTGCCTATTTATTGAAATCTAGTATAATTATGAAAATTAAACATATAACAAATTTTAGCTTGAAACAATATCAAACCTAACACCACTCACTGGTAAAGGCGGCTTATTCAATTAGATTCACCCAATTTATTATATTTGCCACCAATTATTCTACTCTCCCGACCCTAATTGACGACAATAAAAAAATTATTAAAAAATCAAATAATATTCATGATCATTTCTTACCTTTTATTATTTATCATCATTATTATTATTGTCATTATTGTTGCTAGTATCAGTTATAGTGGTATCTTTAAAATTACATATCGTTTTTCAATAAGTAAATTTATACCTCGATCTAAGTAAACAAAACCTAGAACCAAAAGAAAGGAAGGATTAAAAAAATATTGATTGTGAAGAGTTAGTAGATTAAAGATCGGATCATTCAACGATCAATAGAAATAGGAATTAAAAGGAATTCAAAATGGTATTATCCCGAATATTAAAAGAAAAGAGAAAAAAGCTATTGGACACTACCACAAAAATATAAAGCAAAACAACAAAAAAATTTATACCAAATTCAAAACTAATCTTATGATGACAACAATGAAACAATGAAACAATATAACGATACAAAAATTTAGTAAATTTCGAAGAAGGAATTCCCATAGAAAATTTTACTTTGAAATGAAAGATAATTAATTAGCAAAAGAAGTTCCCGGCTAAAAATCAAGACAATGACAACGAAATAATAATAAAAATAATCCCAAGAATACTTCAGAAATTTAAGGGAAGAGATCCGGTCGGAATTTAATTCGTGAAACATATATTAATATGAAGCAAGGGATTTATATATAAAAATTCGGGGCATATTTACTAATACTAGTCAAAAGAAATAATTGTTAAATTGTCATACAACATACAAATTTTTATATCGCACCAAATCAAAACAATGAAAATCAAAACAAAACAATCTTCATTCATGTTAAAAAAAATGAAAACTATATATGTAAGAAGCCAAGACTTCGATGGTTTAGTTTGTTTCTTATGATATTTTATATCTAAGTCAATCAATTTTCTGTGTTGTTATTACTATGTTTAAGTTTTTTTTATAAAAAAAATATTTTTTGGTATTTCTTTTCTTTTTAAACACTATGACATAACCATGAACTGTGTGTTTATGAAGGTCACTATTTTATTGAAATTTGGTCATAAATAGATAACACTATACATATCAACCAGGGCTGGCTGCGTAACCCAAATGAGCACTTGGCTAAACTGACTAAACTATTTAGTCATATTTTAGGTCGAGTTTAGTCAAGTTTAGTCAAGATGATTATTACTAAATTGGGGTTTTAACCCCTTTATGCTGCTGCCAGCCCTGATAACATGTTAGGAAGTCTCATTTTGAAAAGTAAAAAGTTATCATAGTCCTGACGATCTTATGTGTATATATTAAAAAAAAAACTCTGATTGATAAATGATTTGCTATAATAATAAACATAGTAAGTAATAATTAGTGAGTGTTATGGACCAGAGAAATAAAAATAAGGAAAGAGATGTTTGTTATTATTATATATTAGTGTTAATTTCTGGTGTTGTTGGTTGACACATGACAAGGTCATATGTCATTTGTAGACAATTACCATATATGGCAGTATTTTGTGTAATTTATGGGGTAGATCGTGGGAGAGGTATATACATATGACAAATTTGTCTCGTGTCACATCATATCTGCCATGTTACAAGGAATTTATAATTCTCAAGAATATTGGAGCATTTGAGGAAAAAACAATAATCTCATTAGTCATTAGTTTATGTATTTATTTAAACCAATAACAAATTTGCCACAATATACATTGTTACTAGTTTTTGTATTGATATCTTAAACAGTTTTCAATGTTTGTGCAATTTCCAATACATTTAATGCATCAATTTGCAAGTTGAACATGAATATAGACTATGCAGAAAAAAAGTTATTAGCAAATGTAACCTGAGTCAATCTGCAAAAATAGTCATTTCAAAATACAAACCTTTTATGTTGAAGTTTAGTTTCAGAGATCATGTAATTTTTTTTATTTTTTCCTTTTTCCAGGATCTTGTATTAATTGGAATCAATTTCTTAAGAGCAAAAAAAAAGAGTCCATTGGCAATTATTATTAGTCTTTACAGAAATTTTTTTATTGCACAAAGAATAACAACACCCATAGGATTGTTTGCAAGGAAGGACAACACCCCTTAGGTTGTGCAATGTACAAGGAACAACACTCCATACACAGCTAATCTTCTAATCTTAAAAGTATATATGGTTGTTAATGGAGTGACTCTGAGGTGAGTTATATGTTTTATTATGGTACGAAGCAGTCCATTAACAACCCTATTTAAGAGAAATGCCACTCTAAAAAAAGACTTTCTTGCAAGGTAGAGAGGAATGAAGTTTTACTTGGTACCATTATATTAACTAGAGCTTGATATAATGAAGTTTTTGTCAATTGTATTACATACTTTCTCACAAGTCTTGTGTAATTGAATTTAGTAATGTCTCACAGAAAATAAAGTATAGTGCATGCCATCCATCTAAAGACATCAAATGCTGTGTCATGCTGCCAAATCTCCAAATCTCAAAATAGCAATGATACTCTTTGGTGTCACGGGATTATAAAATCACATGACTCAATCATTTATTGTAAATAAATTTTTACTTGAATGAATGAATAAATCAAATATATAAAATGTATAAACAATTAATTCAAATAAATGAATAACAAATAATTCAAATATATAAAATGAATAATATATAATCAAATAAAAAAAAATAATTTAAACAAATGAATAAATGAATAAATGAATAAAATGAATAATTTGAGTAAAATGAATAATTCAAATAATTTGTATAACCAATTTCTTTATCTGGGTCTTCACTTGATGCATATTATAAATTTTTATTCAATTTGTTATTTGACTTTGTTTTTTTAACATTTCTAGTTTTTCCCAAATGCGCATTTTTAATTGGAAGATTGCTTACAAAAAATATGACAATGGTTTTCTGAACTGAATTTTTTATAATTTGTTCTGATCACGTGTTTTGAAGATCTTTTACTAAATAAGAAAAATCATCTTGTGCTAAATTTCATTTTTGATTGTAAAAATCACACAACTTCAAATCACCAAGGCTTTTTTTTATTAATAAAATCTCTATTTTATTGTTGTTTAGGTTCTAAAGATTCAAAAATAGAGTTTTTCAATTTTATAATTTAAAAAAAAGCTTTAATGGTTTGAAGTTGCATGATTTTTTTTCATGCCTTTAGATGACCTGCACCATAGTTGAATTTAGAAAAAAATAAAGTAGTAATATATCACAAAAAATAAAGTAATTGAATTTAGTTTAGAATTATTTAAGCTAAAAATTATTTTCTCAATATTTTAATAAAAAATAAAAAATTCATCAGAAGAAATCCATCATTCACATATAAAGAATTTGGCCAAAAATATGGAATTGAAGAACCTATTGTTTGCAATATTTTAAAAGATAAAGATCAATGGTTATTCATCAACCCTAATGATACCAACAGCAAAAAGATAAAACTGCAATCTTGAAAGTGCATTGATGATATGGTTCAATCAAGCACTTTCAGATAAAAGAGTAATTATAACTCTTGTTAAAGCTAAGGGGTGGCCAAATTATTTATTAGGTATTAATAATTTAAAGGTTCAGATGGTTAGGCCTCGAGTTTTAAGAAAAGAAATAATATAAAGCAGTATGCTATGCATGGTGAAGCAAGCTTGGCACCTCATGAAAAAGAAAGAAAATTACAAGGAATAATCAGGGAAATTTCCTTTAGAAGATGTTTATGGGTCTGATTCATTTTGTTGACAATCATTTTGTCGACAGTCATTTCGTCAACACCTATTTCGTCGAAAGTTCATTTCATCAACACCCATTTCATTGAATGTTCATTTCGTTGAAAATTTGTTTCGTCACAAAAAAAAAAACTTCATTAAACAAATTTCTCCTCACACTTCCCGCACACCCCGCTTTCCTCACCTAATTTCTTAACTAACTTCCCACACTCCTCACATCTAACTTGTTCAGTCTCTGGTTCGAGGATGAAATAATTTTCGACGAAATGAACATTCGATAAAACAAACTTTCGACGAAATGGGTGTCGATGAAATGATTGTTGACGAAGTAAATGTGACTGATTTCATCATTATGGGATTTTTGTAAATCATATACACACTATAATAATGAAGTTTTTTGTCAAAACAAACTCTTTCTTATATCAAGAACTGACTCTATTTAATGCATTAGATAGAAAAAATCAACAGGCCATTTATAGTGTTTTACCCACAAAACCAGAATATTATATATATATAAAGATCTTTATAAGCAGATCGATTACATAAACACTCTACATTATTATCATTATTGTTATTTGTATTAGGTTTTGGGCCATTAGCTGTAACAGTTGTTGATGATTGTTGTTTTTATTGATCATTAGCAATATTAATAAAGTTTGGATTAGTACAATAGAAGATGGATAATAGTTTGGTTAGAAAGTTGAAATAGTATTATTATTCAGTGGTTGTTGTAAAATTAAATGGGATTTATTTGAATGCATGAAAACACACACTTCTCATCTAACTTCCAAATTACATTTCCATTTCCCAATTACTTTCTATTATATTAAACAGAGCCTAGATTTTCTATTATGTGCATTTTATAAGCCATAACTTTGATGGTTAAAAAATATTTCAAAATTATATGATCATTTAATTATTTTCATACCACAAATAGTCGCGTTTTTGTTCTTTGATGAGATGGTTGGTTATTTGGGAAACATTCTTAAATAGAGATTAACAAAGCATTTAGATAATAACAATATTGAAGATTGGATATCACAAAATTCTGTTGATTTAGGCATTTCTAATTATTTTTAATGAATTTTTTTGGTGACTGAGTAGGCTGTCACTATAGGAGGACATGTTTATTGGATTATTAATATACATTCACGGGATTGTTCTATCAAGATAATGATATGTTTATTTTTATTTATTTGTTTGAATTTCCAAAAAATCAAAAAAAAAGAGTTCAATTAATTGAAACATCTTTTTTAATGTTAGGCAAATATGTTTTGGGTTATTTCACACATCCATTGGTTAATTGCCAGGGTTAATGATCGATCATTCAGCATATTTATTTTTACATATTGATTTTTAAAGATTTTCTTCAAAAAATTAAAAAAACAAAAAAGAATTCAACAAATCGAAGAATTTTTTTTTTAAATATTAGGCGAACATGTTATCTGGCATGTTATTCCAGATATCCATTGGTTAATGTTGTCAGGATAATGATCATTTAGCATATATTTAGTTATTTACTTGTTGATTCTTTAATCAAAAAATAGAAAAAAAAAGAATTCGATTAATTGAAGAGCCTTTTTAACATTAGGCGAACATGTTATTTGGTATGTTATTTCGCACACTCATTGGTCATTTAGCATATATTTTTACTTGTATTTATTGTATAACAGGATGTAGAATATTTTTTGTCAATCTTTTAAACATTAATTGTTTTTCCTTTACAATTATAAGAAATATATATATATACGTGTACATATATTTCGAACCTAGGCTATCTAATGAATATGCAGAGTTTGAGCAATTACGAATATATATTTTTGATTGAAATAATAAAATTATACATCATAATAAGGAACCATAATATTTATATGATCATATAGTCACTTGGTCAATACCTACCTTGTGATTGTATTAAAAATGACCTACAATGATTTTGTTATCAGTCATTGGTTTTGTTTGTGTACTATAAATATTAATATGGAAAACACACATAAGTGTCTAATACATATGGTGAAGTTTATTTTTCATACATATGTACCATATATTATGTGTTAGTATCCATTCAGCGCCTATATATTACATACATAGTTTTTTATAAGACGAGATGCATATGAAAATTGCATTCAACAAACTTTATATGCAAAGCAAAGATTCATTGTAGAATTTAATTATAACTCGTTGAAACAAAGTCAAAGAATTTTTATCAGGTTAATTTATATATTAGATAGTATATATCGATTTATACTCGATTTAAACCAAATCAGGTATTTGGTTCATATTGTATTTTGTTGATTCGTAAGAAAATATATATGTATATATATTAGGTCTAAAAACATAGGAATATATGTGTATGAGAGAAATATTGTCAATCCAACGTCGTCTCTTTAAAAACAATTGGAAATCGGGAAGATTCATCCATCTTAATGTTGTTTGACCAAAGTTGTAAAACTATTACATCAAATTTGCTGCCATTAAGTCAAAAATTACGCAAGTAAAATTGCTTTAAAGGCTAATAAAATATAAAAGCTTACAAAAAAAAACTTATAAATAAATATTCCAAGGTCTTTTTTTTTATATTTTTCTCGTCTCTCCTTTGTTTTTGCTGAATACATGATTGGGGTAGATAAATCATTAATTAGGGATTCGGTATTTTATGTTCCAGGGTTAACTAATTTTAGTGTATTAATTATTATCAAATCGCTATGTAAATAATTATAATATCAATATTCAAGCTTGAAATTCTCCATAACACATTACCTACAATAAAAAACTTAATACGCAACTATCCAACACTACTCCCACCCAATCTTAATTGTCTCTATTGTAATCAATCACCTGAAAATACTACACACCTATTTTCTTGCCAAGCTAATTCTAATTTGGACACAATTCCATGGCTAATAATCCAACAATCAATAATCTCTGAAATCTCAAATTGGTATAGATCCTCCAAAATCACACAAACTAAACAACTATTACAACCTCTATTCCAATCTAACTTCAACCATACTTCACCTG